AAGGCACTCGTTGAGGAGGTGGAGGTGTTTGGTGGGAGAGTAGATAATGAGAACTTACCAATGGATAGGAGTATTCAAATTTTTGATTAGTCACAATTTTCTACTCTACTCGATCCTACCAGACCCTAATGAATGACTAGCCGAAAAAATCAAGTAGGAATGCGAAAGAGTTTTTTGTCTTCCTTAAATCGGGTAGGATGCAGAATACCCATCAACTTTCGCATTCCTACTCAATCCTACCCGCATTAATTATATATATACACTAAAAAAAACCCTAATTGCCTAACCAACCTTATCGTCTGACTGACTGAGCAGTGCCTCACTCCTCTCGCCTCCATCAGCTTTCATCGCTCAGGCCTCCATAACGTAGGCCTTTATCGTTCAGCCCCACCTCCCAGGTACTCTCTCTCTCTCTCTCTCTCTTCTCTATCTATCTATCTATCTCTCTCTCTCTCTCTCTCTCTCTGTTCTGTCGGCTCCCCTCACATAGAATCCTCTCTCTTGTGTCAAAAATGAGAAATATACTTACAGGTATATATATATATATACACACATACATCTGTAGCCCAAATGTCAAGATATGATAGGAATCAGGAGAGAAAGAAAGTACCTAGAAGTATACAGAACTTCATGGGAAAATGGTACGAACAAATCAGATATGATGGAAACAGCAAAGAGAGAGTAACGTTGGAGATAGACCGATGGAAGGAGTCAGATCTGATTAAAGCTTGGGTTGCGTCCATTTTGTTTGGGAGAAAATCTGTATAGACTGATATGTATAGATTTGATTTACAAATCTGTATAGAAAAACTTTTGTTTAAGAAATTCTGAATTTGTTCCATTTTGTTTGTTCTGAATTTGTTCCATTTTGTTTATTCTGAATTTGTTCCATTGTGGGTTTTGATGCATCTGTGAAGGGTAATAGGAAGAAAATAATTAAATTACATACATGTGTGTGTAATTTTGTTTGTTCTGAATTTGTTCCATTGTGGATTCTAATGCATTTGTGAAGGGTAGCTGAAAGAAAATAATTAAATTACATATCTGTGTGTGTAATTTTGTTTGTTCTGATTTTTTTTATTTTTTTCACAGATAATTTCCTTATGGATGAAATTACTCCACAATCATTTGCTCAAACTGATTCTAACGGTAACATCTAAGTTACTAATGACATTCAGGGTGAGGGACAAGATACAAGAAAACGATCTAGAGTTTGAGAACATTTTGAAAAGATTGAAGCTGTGGATGAAGCAAAATATCAGCATTGTAATAAGACTTACAATTATCATCCAAGAAAAACATGTACTTTGATGATACTTAGAGCAATTCCCAAGTATGAACTTGAGAGCGGAGGTCAGACGCACAGAGCTCATAAAACCAGAGTAAAGTCCAGCCCAATCGAAGCAGCAGCAGAAGTAATAAAGAGATAGCTATTTGTCAACATAAACCCTAGAGGCAGCAAAAGAGTCATAATCGAAATATAAAACTCTCATCCAGGAAAGATCTCCTCCTAAGATCAAGGAGGATTCCTCGGATAAATGGCGAAGATCTCGGGGTGGATCTCGCAAAATTAAGAAAAGCCCTATAAATACTATGTAACGCCCCCAACAGAGGGGCAGAACCTCATTATCACATCTTACAGTCTGTAAACCTTTTGGTATAATAAATAGTGAGAGAGGGGCAGAACCTCATTATCACATCTTACAGTCTGTAAACCTTTTGGTATAGTAAATAGTGAGGGAAGAAGCAAGAATCTCCATTGAAGAGTGGTGAGCTCTCAAACTGGTGAACCACTATATTTCTACTGTGTTAATTCCCCAACTCCCCAACAATTTTCAGTATCATTCCCTCGAGTCTAGTAGCTCAGATCCCAATAATTCCAATATTGTTTCTTTCATTTACTCGTCATCACAAAATTGCATCACATTGAAATACACCATCATACTTCATCCTTACTTTATCATTTAGATTGTTGTAAATCCTATTTGGCGAGTGTGAGTAAGAAAGACACATCTCAATTATAGTTAATTGGTGCATTCAAAAAAGATGAAGATGGTGTTAGTAGTAACCTTAGTGTTACTAAATTCAATGAAAAGAAAATTAGGGAAGCAATTGCTACTATGATTATAGTGGATGAATTGTCATTCCAGTTTGTTGAAGTGTTAGGATTGTTGAACCTAGATTTTGTATACCTTCTCGTACTACTGTGATGAGGGATTGTTTGATATTATATATGATGGAGAAAGAAAAATGGAAGCATATGTTTGTCTCATCTAGTCAAAAGGTTTGCCTTACTACTGACACATGGACCACTATTCAAAATTTAACTTATATGTCCTTAACTGCACATTTCATTGATAAAGATTGAAAGTTACACAAACGAATAATCAATTTTCTGAAAGTTCCTAATCATAAGGGTGTGACAATTGAAAGGGAAATTGAAGCATGCATGCTTGGGTGTGGGATAAATAGCATATTTACTGTTACAGTGGATAATGCTACTTTTAATGATGGTGCTCTTGATTATTTAAAGAGACAAACTAAGGATGGGAAGAGCATTATCTTAGAAAATGAATTTATGCATGTTAGGTGTTGTGCACACATTTTGAATCTAATTGTCACTGAGGGTTTGAAGGTACAAAATGCTGTTAAATATGTGAAGTCTTCTCTTTCAAGGCTTGACAAGTTTAAGTCATGTGTTGAGAGGCAAAAAATTGGTGAAAAGGGTTTTCTTTGCCTTGATGTTCCAACTAGATGGAACTCTACATATATGATGCTCAAAGTTGCTGAATAGTACCAAGGTGCATTTGATTTGTTACAAGAAGATGATGGACAATTTGTAAGTCAATTGAGTGAGGGGGTGGTTTAGGGCCACCTACATTTGATGATTGAGACATTGTTCGTGTGTTTTTGAAGTTTTTGAAACTTTTCTATGAAGTCACTTTGTGCATTTCTGGATCATTATATACCACATCTAACTTATTTTTTCAAGAACTTTCTACTTTGTATGATCATTTGCAAGGTTATTGTGAAGATGATGACTATCTTTTGAGTACCATGGCTATGAGAATGAAAAGCAAGTATGATAAGTATTTGGGTCATTTAAATAAATATTAATTTGATGTTGTTTGTTGCTATTGTTCTTGACCCACGTTATAAATTGGATGCTTTAGAATTTTGACTCAATGACAATTATAAGACTGAGGATGAAGTAGTTAAGGTTCAACTAGTTGAAAAGATCAAAAGGATCATCGACCGGTTATGCCCACAGTACACTAGATTTAGTTTGGGGTGTGGAATGGGGTCAAATGTTGACCATGAGAAAAATGTGTCTTCAGCTAAGATGGTTGTTCAAGATCAAGTACATACGAATTTCATGAATAGGTACCGCAAGTATAGAGCTGAGATAAGTAATGTAGACAACAAATCAGAGTTGGATCGATATTTGATAAAGGATGTTAAATTTTCTAGTGTCAATTTTGATATTTTGAATTGATGGAAGGTTTATTATTATAAATTATCGATCCTTGCCAAAATAGCTCGTGGTGTATTAGATATTCTCATTTCTACGGTGGCATTAGAATCGACTTTCAGCACTAAAGGTCGTATTTTAGATCCTTTTCGGAGTTGTCTGACACCCATCTCATATGTGCACAAAATTGGCTTGGATTGTCATCCATTACTTATGACTTTGAAGATGTTTTGGAAGATTCAAAAAGCTATAAACTATATTTAGTTTTTTATACTCTTCTTGTTATTTTTTTTTATTATTTGTTGATGAGTTCTTCGTATCTATTTCTTTTCCTTACTCTTTTTTATCTCAGAAATAATTATAGAGAAAATTGCAAATGCTCTTGAGTGAAGAAAGGTGAATGACACTAGCAAGAAAGTTAAGAGTATTTGTGTGGTATAAGAATATTTATATTATAAAATTGCTCGAGTGAAGAAAGGTGAATGATACTAGCAAGAAAGTTAAGAGTATTTGCGTGATATAAGAGTATTTATATTATAAAATTGCTCGAGTGAAGAAAGGTAAATGACACTAGCAAGAAAACTAAGAGTATTTGTGTGGTGTAACGGTATTTATATTATAACATTGTTATTGTCGTAGATATTTGAGTTAGTAAAACATAGACTTTTTTTTTGTGTAAATTACATGATTTGTAGTAAACTGATAATCTATTAGAATAATTATTATTTTAATGTATTTCATATAGTTGAAGTTTAAAATAATTATTATTGTATTTGTATAACAATTATGATAGATTAATGTTTATGTTTTCTTATGTTTTATTGTAATTGTTATAGTTGCTTTAGGTTTTAGTGTTATTGATTTGAAGTCTTGTTAAATTAATCCATGTTATTTAATTGAATTGTTAAAATAATTCAAAAATTAATAACTACAAAAGTGCTTATCCGACTTCCTACCCGATTAATTCGACCAAAAGTTGGATAGAAATACTACATTTGATTGGATACAGTAGACCAAGAAAAAATTCTTCTACAAAATATCGGGTAGGAATGCATAAGACTTTATTTCCTATCCGTAAGGTAGGGTGAAAACCCTACCAATGGATAGGAAGTTAACAGTAAACATATCAAATTGCCACGCGTTCATTTCTGGATGGTACTGATTTCATAAAAAAAGGGGGAAGATAGAATAGATTTCAAGATTAAGAATACAGAGCTGAACACGGAGCACTTTAAAGATATAAGATGAATCAATACACCTAAATTGTTGAACAAGGAATACGACATAAAGGAAGATTTATACTGTGGCTCCTGAGCTCCACGTTTGTTTTGACCAGATGTCTGCCCAATTTTAAGCCTACAAGTTAAACAGATAAGCTCACATCAGAAAATAAATCAGACAAGCTCACGCCATGAAAAAGGTATTGACAAGAGAGGGATACCTGCCTTGCTCAAACCATAATGTAGTAATAGTATGGACAGAACTCTAGCAGCAGAGGTTAATTGCTCATAGTTGAAGACAGGACGAAGTTCCAGAATATAGAACCCATGGACATGAAAGCAACACGGGCTTGAAGAGGAACTACCCTATAAAATATGCCATTCAGAAGTTGTCAAAGCAAGTTATCTAATATCTAAGCTGCCTCTGCTTTGGACAAAATAGTGAAGATGGCCATTTTTACTGATGATACTCCAAGTAAATTCTTTGTAGACAGCATAACAAAAGAACCTAATATAAAACAAAAGTTTGAAATGAAAATGCAAAGCACTCACCATGCTATTAGGAGTAAACGATCATAGTATTGATCAAATCTAAAAATAAGTTCTTGCAACACCATGCAATAGGATAAATTAGACCACTTATTATTTAAAAGTACCACAGCCGTCAACATGGACTTTCAAAGTATGCTTAAATTATTTCTGACAATACATCCCTTCTCATATTCATCAATCATAAAATGGTAATTAGATGATGACAACAATGATGTGAAGAAATTAAGATTCAGTTAATAGCCTAGAAACTAAAGAAGTGAAAAAGAACTTCAGTTAATTCAGGAAGTGGAATTGATTGGTGGAGCTAGTACAAGGGCAAGAAAAAGGATGAATATACAATATTTTAAACATTGTCGCAAAGTTAGACTTGGGTTGCTGGAGAGGTAAAACAAATTCATTAAAGTTCATGAGAGATTTTGTCAACCCAAGTGATAGTTACTGCCTCAGACTAGATTTACAAAATAACATAGCAACCCAGGCCACTAAACCCTTTATTGAAAAATGAAGTTGTTTTTGTGTCAAATAACAATGAAATAAGTATGTTAAATGCATCAGCTCAAGTTCTAAATGGAGAAAGTTTGGTCCATAGATATGGATCCAAGTGTAGTTTTATTTTCTTCTTGTTCTTTCTTTCTTTTCTGAGACTATTTAGTAAGAGGAATGGATACATGATTTCAGGACTTCTGGTGACGGAGTTGTATTGTCAAGGGCTTACTGGAAGTAATCCAGAGGAGTAAAAAAATGAGAGAGAGAGAGGTACCCAAAATTCAATATGCTGACAGGGATCCAGAACCTAAATCCTGCATATAAACAAAAAAAAAACAAGGAAAATCAAACTTGCATTGAAATGAAACCAAACTGAGCAGGACAGTTTAAAGATTCCAGAAGACAGGTTTTACCAACAAATAGTGTGGGAAGTGCATCTTTCAGGTACTTATCTGGAAGCTCTGAGAGCTTTCCTTGACATAAATTATTCCATGCAAAAACAACAGCAATTACGGCTGGACCAAGCACAATTTGGTTTAATAAAACCTGCAAGGAACTGGAACTATAAGAAATTGTTTAAAGTTGCCTCAAGTGATCCTATTTGTTCTGAAAAGTACAAAGCAAAAAACTGGACAAGATTTATACCTTCATCAAAAGGTTCTCTACCGTTTGCTTTGGCATGCAATGATCAAGATACTGGTACCATGCATAAGAACCAGGCCCATAGAAAAGAAAGCCATATGTAATCATCCGGAGGGATCGGACCCAATCATGGTCTGAAAGGAGAGTCCACATGACATCCTGAGATAGAAATTTTGGTCAAAGATCAAACTCAAAGTAGATTCACTTACCAGAACAAAAACACGGGCACAAGAATCTTAAAATGTTACTGCCTTCAAAAGGTTGGCAAAAACTAGAATGACGGACTCTGCCTCAGCTAACAATCGTAAAAATTCTAAGAGGCTGCTGTAACACAAAAATTAGCGGGTTAGAGTTTACTAATTCTCGAGACAAATCCAAAAATGAAACGACCTGCTAACACAATTAATAAGCATGTCATGTTAGTTTTCGATACTAAACTGAATTTCACACGATAAACATGTTTAATAGGTATAATATAAATAAAATGACATTTTTGCCATTTTTATCACGTATTGAATGGAATATCATAAAAAGAAGGAATTTTTTTTTCCATGCTTTTGCTGTTATATAGACTTTCATAGATTTTTAGTCTGTAAAACAATTATGAGCGGTAGGTTTGGTTGAGAAGTAATGGGATCTTAGTTCTACATTTAAAATTCAAGTGTTATATGGTTCAACTTGAACATGACACGATATTAAAAAGATCAAGTTAGTGTCAGAACATCTGACATGATAAATTAAAAAGATTGGTTAGGGTTGACTAATTGACGTAGAACGGGAAGGACTAGAAATCACAGAATGGAAAGAGAAGAAGAAAGAAGAGGGGGTGAAAGAGATTTACCTCATCCTCGCAAGGAATCGGTGAAGAAACACATAAATTCTCCACGGAGAACCACTTTTATTATATCACTCTCTAATTGAAAATAGTTGGAATTACATCATTATTTATAGGTCAAGTCCCCTACTAAAATAAAAATTACTTTCCTACTAAAATACTAAAAGAATTTCATAATCAAACTCTCAAATCCCTATCCTATTAAAACTCTTTAATAATTTCCTAGTTAAAATTTAATTAAAACTCCTAGTCAAACAAATACTCATAAATCAAATAATAATAATAAACTACCAATTCCACTTCCCTTTGGACCAAAAATTCCTATTCTTTCGCCTAAGCTTCCAAAGTCGATTGCATTGGTCCAACCAACCAATGGCTACGCCATTAATTCTCCTCCGCTGAAAAGAACTCGACTCCGACGAGTAAGGAGAAGGGCTAAGAATACCATCTGATGGAGAAGCTCTCTGAATCAACAACGAACTCTTTTTTAATTGTAGTGTACACGCATCTGTAGCACAAGTAAGAGTATATTTTTTTCTTCCAATTACAAAAGAACAGGTATTAGCATGCCCCGCATGTTGTGCATCACGATCCCATATCCAAGTGCGCCCTAAAAGTATATGACAAAGCTTGAGAGGCAATACATCAAACATGACGGTCTCTTTAAGACTTCCAATGGTGAATGTATCTGGACATCTCTTATCAACTTTCAGCTTCGTATTAGTAATCCATGCTACATGATATGGCTCTAGATGTGGTTCAACTTTTATATTTAGCTTCTTCACGACCTCCTCTAATACCACATTTGTGCAACTTCCCGTGTCAATCACTAACGAACATATCTGTCATTTACAACAAACTCTTGTCTGAAAAATTTTTCCTCGATGAATAAACTCACAATTAGTAACTTCTTTATTAGCAATAAGTAGAGGACGGAAAACACCCATAAAATGATCATCACCCAAATCATCAAAATTAACCTCACCCACATCAAGAGGTTCTACAATCTCTGTTTCAAATTCTGGCTCATCAAAATCATTATGCACCTTAGAATCTTCCATTTCAACCACAGAGAAAGACTAGAAATCACAGAATGGAAAGAGAAGAAGAAAGAAGAGGGGGTGAAAGAGGTTTACCTCATCCTCGTAAGGAATCGGTGAAGAAACACAAATTCTCCACGGAGAACCACTTTTATTATATCACTCTCTAATTAAAAATAGTTGGGATTACACCATTATTTATAGGCTAAGTCCCCTACTAAATAAAAACTATTTTCCTACTAAAATACTAAAAGAGTTTCATAATCAAACTCTCATATCCCTATCCTACTAAAATAATTTCCTAATTAAACTCTAATTAAAACTCCTAGTCAAATAAATATTCATAATTCAAATAATAATAATAAACTACCAATTCCACTTCCCTTTGGACCAAAAATTCCTATTCTTTCGCCTAGGCTTTCAAAGTCGATTGCATTGGTCCAACCAACCAATGGCTGCGCCATCAATTCTCCTTTGCTGAAAAGAACTCGACTCCGGCGAGTAATGAGAAGGGCTAAGAATACCATCTGATGGAGAAGCTCTCTGAATCAACAACGAACTCTTTTTCAATTGTAGTGTACACGCATCTGTAGCACAAGTAAGAGTATACTTTTTTCTTCCAATTACAAAAGAACAGGTATTAGCACGCCCCGCATGTTGTGCATCACGATCCCATATCCAAGTGCGCCTTAAAAGTATATGACAAAGCTTGAGAGGCAATACATCAAACATGACGGTCTCTTTAAGACTTCCAATGGTGAATGTAATTGGACATCTCTTCTCAACTTTCAGCTTCGTATTAGTAATCCATGCTACATGATATGGTTCTGGATGTGGTTCAACTTTCAAATTTAGCTTCTTCACGACCTCTTCTGATACCACATTTGTGCAACTTCCTGTGTCGATCACTAACGAACAAATCTGTCATTTACAACAAACTCTTCTCTGAAAGATTTTTCCTCGATGAATAAACTCACCATTAGCAACTTTTTTATTAGCAACAAGTAGAGGACGGAAAACACCCATAAAATGATTATCACCCAAATCATCAAAATTAACCTCACCCACATCAAGAGGTTCTACAATCTCTGTTTCAAATTCTGGCTCATCAGAAACATTATGCACCTTAGAATCTTCCTTTTCAACCACAAGGAAAGACTAGAAATTACAGAATGGAAAGAGAAGAAGAAAGAAGAGGGGTGAAAGGGGTTTACCTCATCCTCGCAAGGAATCGGTGAAGAAACACATAAATTCTTCACGGATAACCACTTTTATTATATCACTCTCTAATTAAAAATAGTTGGGATTACACCATTATTTATAGGTCAAGTCCCCTACTAAAATAAAAACTATTTTCCTACTAAAATACTAAAAGAGTTTCATAATCAAACTCTCAAATTCCTATCCTACTAAAACTCTATAATAATTTCCTAATTAAACTCTAATTAAAACTCCTAGTCAAACAAATACTCATTGTTGGAGTATAGATAGTAGTCTAGGTTTATTAGGATTCCTTTTCCCTTTTTTACCCTTACTATGATTTTTATATTTTGCCTAAACTACAAGGATGTTTAAGTCACTCTGTATTATTTTTGGCTATATATACGGGACTCTACTTTGAGTTTGAGTATCCCTTTCACATATTCCAAGTTGGTATCAGAGCCAAAACCCTAGCCTCCATCTCTAAGCCTAACCCTAACCCTAACCTTAACCCTAGCCTTCATCACCTTCCCAGCAGCCACCATTCCACAACCCAAACAATCTGCAACAGCCTGCCCAACCTCCAGCGCCACACCCAGGCCACCAGATCACCGACTGCCTGCCAAAATCATCTGCCTCTACTACACCGTCCAGCAGCCCCACCGACAAAACCACACACCAGCCTCCCATCAGAACCAGACCACACCGCCAGACCAGACCAGACCAGCGACCGACTGTTTCAATCCAACGCTACTGCTACACCGTCCAGCAGCCCCACCGACAAAACCACACACCAGCCTCCCATCAGAACCAGACCACACCGCCAGACCAGACCAGACCAGCGACCGACTGTTTCAATCCAACGCTACTGCCCACCCCACAGCCTGCCCAACTCTGCCCACCGACTGAAAAACCCCACCGACTGAAAAACCCCACCGACTGAAAAACCAAAACCGAAACCCGACTAAAACCGAAACCACCGACTGAAACCGAAACCACCGACTGAAACCGAAACCCGACTGCCCAGACCGCCACACCGACTGAAACCGAAACCCCACCACCACATAACCGCCACCACAGCAACATTGGTTACTTATTTATACCATCGACAAATCCACTCCATACCAGCCTCGACCGTCCGACCTCTAGTGCACCAGAACACAAGGGTAGCCAACGGGTCAGCCACCGACAACCCGACTGGCTGCTCACTTATTTATACCAAACAATATATAGATCACTTATTTCAACCAGCCCACTGTTCATTAAACTCATAGTTTTGTGTTGTTTTTTGTGCACTTGATTATTTGGGACCATAAGACCTTTAAGAGGGGTTGTGATTTTATTCTAGGACTTTTTTGGGAGGGAGCGGATCCTCTTTTCTGTTGATCTGTCCTTAATGCAGTAGATCACTTATTTATATATTTTGGATTTTTGGGCACCGTGACTTGATTATTTGGGAGCTTTTTTGGACCTTCCCTTTTTGTCGCTACTGTTCGACTGAAGGTATATTGTTCTCCCTTATTTTATTCCTCTATTTATCTTAGAGTTATTTTTCTGTCACGGGTGCCCTAGTATTGTTGTTGATATGACTAGTACTGAGGGACTTGAGAACCCTACTGTTGACACCTCTACTGTTGAGACATCTATGGGTACTTCCACTTTTATGTTTGACCAGTATACAGTGCCTACTAGCACAATTGCATTACCAGCATTACCGGGCATGATCTCTCAAAAAGTTACGGCACAATTGTTGAATGGTCGTAACTTCGCTGAGTGGTCACGCTCATTCCAGCTTTTCTTAGGCCGTGTAGGGAAGCTTGGTTGGCTGACGGGATCTCACCCAAAGCCAGCTGATGCCGACCCTGGATATTCTGCATGGTTCTCTGAAAACTGTGCCATTCTTGGATGGTTATTTGGCTCAATGGAGCCCTCTGTTTGCAGGATCCATCAGTTTCATAGCTCTGTTCCGAAGCTATGGAGCGCATTATCAGAGATGTATTCTCAGTCAGGACGGGGAGTTCGTGTTTATGAGC